TGCACGTTGAGCTTTGCTCTCCTTTTCAGATTGTGTCTAGCTAATAATACTATTAAGGTCCTACAACTTCTGCTCCTTGCAAAACTAAAAGATTTCTGCTATTCTAAACCCGAAACTAATTCAAGAGTCTAGCGTTAGTTTTTCTAGTTTCAGGAGGTCTTAATATTATTAACCTTTTTTTCCCTCAAAACTTACACTCAAAGATTAGCCAATTCTTCCATTAACATAATTCTTTTGTTTTTGTTTTTTTGGGGGACCATTTGATAAAATACATATATAAATAATTTTGTTCTAGGAAGGTCAAAGGATGAGCTAACATAAAACGGGCCTAATCCTATTTCAGACATTTTGTTTCATTCCACGTTGACATAACTTAAAATTGCAGGGCCGCCCAAGGGTAGCAGGTGAGGCACCTGCCTACAGCCCCCCCAAAAAAAGCACCCAAAAGGAGTCCAAATTATTTTAAGAGTTGTTGTTCTAATAGTTTACCACAATACCATTGAGGCCTAACAAAGTTTATAAGTTTTTCTCCAAACACACCGGTTCAAAGAGCCCCAAAAAAAGGCCCAAAAAACGCCCAATTCATTATATATTGTTAATTACCATAAATTGAACGATACAAAACAAAAACCATGTGTCATATTTTTCCACACACCCAATAAAAAAGTAACTAACTAATTTTTAAGTGTCTACAATTTCAAAGACACCTTAAAATCCTAAAATGATGAAAACATTGCATCGCCAACCCCTCTAATCTCCATAGTGTCTCTTTCGGCTTAAAGGTGTGATTCCAACAATTTGTCTTTCTCACCAAATCGACCAGATTCATCCTTAATCATTTTTCTGACACTTTTCCCAACCTTACAACCCCCAATTTTGGACGATTTTTTGCTTAATTTCGCAACTCCATTTTATTCCTCACTACGTGCGGCAGCAATTTCCTTCCGACACGTATTCGCTGTCGTTGACCTTCCCCACACCACCAATCTTCATCCCCTCAGCCCCATCACCCCAAAACCCTCACTACCTGACCTCCTTAGCTCGCCGTCCACCTCTCACCCCACAAGAAAGATTAGTTAATTTGACTATATTTCAATTGAAAAAAGATTTGTTTACTAACTTGATTATAAAATTTAACTTAGTATTTTGCATCTCAAAGGCAAGAAAAATCACATTTTGAAATATTTTTATTAATATACGGCATTGTTGAATGGAAAGATATCCCTCCTTATAACCGTAGTAAGGGGCTTCTTGAATGTATCTAGTCGTGTGTACTCCAACACCCTCCTTCCCACTGTCAACCCATATGTTTGGTTATACCTATTGATATATATATTTTTATTGCTCCTAACATCCTCAGCCCTTTGGTCCAACACTCCCGCTCTACTAGACCGTCACCTGATCCATGTAAAATATGGGAAATTGCAGCAGTCTATTTAACCCATATAACATTAAACAGCTCTATAGTCCTAATTTGCGACTAACTAATTTTATTACTATGAGAGGTTATAACTTAAATAGAATGTAGGTAAAACCATTCTTATTTCATATTCATGTTTTAAGTAGTATAATATTAGAATTTCAATTCATTTTATAATATTAGGGTTTCATTCTCATCTTTTCCGATTGCCTACTTTTTGCAATGGATGAAGTTGTGGTTTGGAAACCACAAAGATAACTGTCACTTATGGAATTGTGAATACAGTGGCTGGATGGCAACTGATGTGAAATCATAGCCAATTGCCAATTGTTTTTAAAGCATTACAAATTAGTACCACCGATGTCGATGAATTGCAAGTTACAATGACGTGGCTGAAAGGAGAATCAAAGAGTCCTTGTAAAATTGAGTGATCACTTCCGACCAACTTCACTACACAAGTAATCGAATGCATATTAATGTCTTCTATTATTCCTCCAAATGAGTAACCATTCCATGTATGCTTAAGCATAACAAGAAGAAATCATTTCTCTACAATTCAAACAAGAAAGAAATAATAATATATGAGAAATATAGAACAACATAGACGGAAATACAGCAAAAGTTATCATGTCAGCAAGCTCCAATAAAATCGCACCAAAAGTCACTGGCCAGACAGCCAAGAGAGCAGCTACACGCACTAAAATAAACCGAAATCATCGTATTGTTCCGTCCCTAATAGTCCACACACTTAGCGTCTGAATATAACCCCAAGTTAACATATATAATACAACTCTAAAGCATAGACGTATGGCCCAAACAACTTCAATAAATATTTTATTCTTTCTTAAACCTTTATGTAACCGTACCATATTGATATATAATATATATTTTTTTTTTTTTTTTTTTTGAGACGTACTGGACCGTATACAAATAAAATAATCATATGAGGACACGTATAGACCGAAGAGACGTCATATTCCTTAAGCAGAATATAAACAATTGAATAACTTAAACTGACCCAAGTGGAGTTTATTCTTATGTATAATACCTAGGAACCCAAATGCATGAAAATAAAATTGTTTTAATGACTATATGGGTTTATTTCCTTAACAGATAAGTACGTACGTAAAATACCAAATAACAACTGAAAAAAGAGAAAACCAAAGGTGATCGACACTAGATATCAATTTCGCCATAAATAACGATCAATTGATGACAAAAGACATTTAGGAGAGAATAGCGAATAACAAGCACTTATCTAAATCCAGACATAACAGAAGGAAATAAAGACTTCCATAGCGAATGTTTCTCCAAATAGATCTCTATCTCCATAAATATCTATTATATCTTCTCTTATATAGAGGGTAGATGACAATTTCAAGGAAAATGGAGTTTTCCCAAAATCCAGAAATTACCAGGTAATAAACGTTTAAAATTTCAAATTATTTGTCTCGTTCCCTTGGCCCTTTGCATGATGGTATGTAACGTTATTCCTACTACTGTTTCCTTAATCTGATTGATGATATTAATCAGCCCACTATTAATTTATACTGTAGCTTTTGGAGAAAACTTTTTTTGGTCCCCCCTTGATTTTTCTTGTTGTATTTTTTCGTTACATTTTTATTATTTTTTTAATGTTTTTTCTTGGTTGTAAATCTCATCAAAGTGAAATTATTATGTCGATCTTTTTATAATTTGCAGCTTTTTTGTTTTTTTTCCTTGGTTCTTGTACAATATGGTGATTCTAGTTAGTTTTCACAAATTAAATGGTATTCTAACCTCTATTTCATTTTTGTTCGTGTAATATGTGTCCTTAATTTTAATACATTTTAATTATTAAAAGACAAGTGGTGTGATGCAAAAATTAGTAATCAAACATACTTTCAACATTTTTTTTTTTTTTTTTTATCATTTCTTTACAGATTATTGCGCTTGTCTCCAATCATTTTGATATTGGAAATTATTGAGTCTACGATAGAAATGAAGTACTAGCCAAGCGAAGTCCCTTTCTTATCCTGCGATAAATGGTTCGGAAACACTCTGCTGATCTTGACGGACGGTAAAACAAAACAACTGCAATCACTAAACAAGACCCTAAGCGTGTAACACGCGACACTACACATCACCTCCTCAATGAAAAAACACTGTCACCCCACAACCACGACAAACAGACCAACCAAGAGAACCTAAAGTAAAAGCAAAAGAACAAGTAAAGTTCAGCAATGCCAATCTAGTCAATGGCAGTTAGATGTGGCTCAACGTGTATGTTCCTCCTGGCAAATGGTTCCTGGAGTTTTAATCTCACTAGCATTCACTTTATATATTCTAGGGAGAGATGCAATTCTTCTTGCAGCCAGGTATATATTTACCATTGTTTAAATCTTTATTTCATTAATTAAAATTTTACTTGTAAAGTACTTTTCCAAGACAAGAAAGATATTTATATTAATATCCCCTATAGATTTATCAACAGTAGGGATCTTGTTATAAATTTATTACATATCGCATTGGACAGAATGCCTCATCTGGCGGATTGCCATCTATGGGAGAGGAAGAGATGGACCTTGTGGCAGTTTTACAGTCTTATTTTTGGGACAAATTTAACTGAGTGTTGTTGTAACCAGGTAATATTAGTTAATACGAATTTAACACCCATATTTACAGGCCGGATTGGGTGGGGGAGTGGTAATGTATTATATATAGGGATTTTACAATTTTTTTTTTTTTTTTTTTGGCATTTTTGGCATTAGAAGGGATAATTTAAGCTTTTTGGTCTAATGTGAAGTAATTGAGTGAAAGGGAGGGGGGATGTGGTTTTGTGAGGCAATTATGTGGAATGAATTTTGGAAATTAGGGGTTTTAGGTTTTAAATGGGTGAAAAAATTGGAGTTTTGTGATTTGAGATTTTGGTAATGCGGGTTTTAAATAAACTTGTTTGATGTTGAAACTTTGTGAAGTTATTAGTTGCTCTGTTCTGATAGTGACATGAATATTAAACATGAAGGAGCCTGTTTATAGTAAGAGTTTTGGCTTGTATGAAGAAAAGATCTAGAAATTAGAATGAAAGTAGAAAAAGAAAAAGAAAAAAAAAAGGAGAGAAATATTCTTGAAGAGCCACAACATAAACCCATGTGCTTGTAAATTTAACTTTAGTAATTCTAAAATTGCATGTGTTTTCATATACTCACCTTTAACTTATTATGACTGGAAAAACTCATCATGGTCACTATATCTTAGAATATGTACTAATTAGCAACATAAACCTTTTCACTGTTGTTGCATCAATCTCTTTGGAGCCTATTTGGTAAGAATATGGCTTCTTTGCAGATTTTATTATAAATGTTAGAGAATGTTGATGGATGTAAGGAATAGACATGGTTTTTGTGGGACGAGTGACAAGATAAGTAGGGAAATCTGAAGAAATGCAAGTGGGCATGTAATTGAGTGACTGATTGTGTTGCTGTGCAATAGAGGGCTACTTACATGCAGGCTTTTGTGATGTTATCTTAACAAACCAACCTATAGCCAACATGTGTAAATTTATTTATAATTTCTCAAGAATTCATTTGACACATCCAGACAAATTCGAACTTTCTTGTGTATCGTGTGCTCGAGCTTCTAAGCCAAGATCCCCTTGGTCATCCATCAAAGTCTTGCTAGAACCTCCTTGAGTGGAGGCAGATTCATGACAAGAATATCCTTCTCTTCTCCTTGCTAAGTAAGTTCTATGGTGGTGTAAATCACCAAAGGAGATTCTAGTTTTACTGTGTCTGTCTAGGAGTCAACTACAGGTTTACACTTCCCTAAAATCTGGTATGCCAGGGAGTCAATCTGATATATGTAAGCACTATATGTTGAAGAGATGCTATATTGAATTTCAATGGGACCATTTAATGATATTATATTATTTAGAATTACAGCTTTCATTTAGGCTTGAATTAGTAATGATTTCAATTCATTTGTATGTGAAAATGGCCATTATTTGAAGGACGTACAAGACTATTCACTTTTTTAACATTAAAGTTTGGTTGAAACAAGTTTGCTTAGAAGGATGTCATTAAGATCATGATGTGGTTGTCCAACTTTCATCGCATAAAATTTTTGGATATCCCAAGATCATAATGTGTTTCACATATTATGTCTTTTGTTGTGAAGTGTTGATGACTTGTGTATGGTAGAGATTCTTAGTTTTTCTAATGTTATTTATTTATCTTTTCTATCTGTGTTGAACGCTACAGATTAGTTTTTCAACATACAGCAAATGCCTCATGAATGAGTAGATTTTTCGGAAGAAGCTGATGATTTTTGCTGACAAATTAAACTCAAATGAGATTGAAGATGCATTAGATCTGATCAAGAGTCTATTATTTTGTGGTTTAAGCAGAGATGAAAGGAGGAAATCATTATAGATGGAGAGGAAGCCATCTTTCTCTCACTCTAATTACACTTCTTTTTACAACCATATTTCTTTGGGTTTGCGAAAAGAATCATTTTGTTACTACTGTACCATCAGACCAAGATCAATTTACATGGCATTCATCAGGTTCGTTTTTGGATCAACTGTCTACCTGAATATGTATTTGCATATCTTTGTCCCCTCCTTTTCACTGAATTATAAATTTATTGATAAAGGCAAAGAAAAGAGTTGGTGAAAAGTGTACTGAGAAAAACTATATAGTACCTAAGGCTAATGAAAAATTTGAGATCCTGATGTTGTTTGATGGGATCTATGAATGGGGATCTATGAATGTAACCACAGGCTTCTCCTTCTCTTTCATGCAACTTATTTTTTCTTTTCTGTGGCTCAGCATTTGATGAAGAAGCTGAAAATTATTCCTTTAAATCTATAAGGCCAAAGGAGCATATAGAAGAAAAAAATTCTGAATCAATAACTGCAGAAGAAACAAAAAGACCAGGTGAAAGGAATTCAGACACACAATTAACAAATTTTACAACCTCATACATTCCTGAGAGGAAAGAAAGTGACGAGGAGAGGACTTTCTCAACCAAAAGGAAAGGTAGTGTCCCTTTCTTATGCAGTTGCAAATGTTGCTGCTTGTACTGTGTTAATTTTCTGAGCTCTCTTGCATATGATTGCAATTTTTGTTTAAATAGTTTTCCCCTGAACTTGTGATTATAATGACTTGCTTCATGATTGAGGTCAGTTAGAATGGAACAGAGTAACTATTTAATAGAGTTAGTATATATGCGACATTATCACTGTCAACTTCCTGTTGTTTTTTTCTCATATAAATTGTGGAAGGGGAGCAACTGATTATACATGTGTCATAATCGAGTAACTATATTTAATAGGGAAAATGGTGAGACCCCTATTTCCCTGTGGTTATTTATAGTTAGCCTTAAAAGAAAGAATGTGGAAATTGGTAACTTCTGCAGCCTTCAAAAAAAGAATGTGGAATTTTTGTTTGTTTTACTATTTAGGTCCATTATTTTGTCTTCATATTAAACATGAATAGAATTTGATTAACATGTCATACAATATTTTTGTAACTCATGAAGGATAATGGCACATTTACTTGGAGGATAGGATCTTCCTCGCTTTCCATTAGATGCAAATGCTACTTATGTATTGGTGGTTTGAGTACTTATAGTTTAAGCCTTCAGGTTTTTGTTTGCCAGCAGCCATTAGCGTAAATTCTCAACCTATCCATAGTTTACTTTGGCCTAAATAGTTATCTAATGTAGATTTTTAAGAGAATGGAAGTCTTTCTTGAAAATCAGTGCTCTCAGGAAGAAAAAGAAAGAGGAAATACCTTTATGTTTATATTTTTCTTGTTTCACATTTTTACAAAATCATAAGAGAGAGAAAATAAGAAAATACTGTCTGTTGTGTCTTTTTGGACCTCAGATGTCTCTTTCTTCTAGAGTTTCTGTTTCTTGGTACAATAGAATGAACAATAAATGCAAGAAATATAGGAGCTAGTCAGCAGTAAAAAATTATCTGTCAACAAGATGAGGGAGGACAATTTTGAAAAGAAGACATTAATAAGAGAGAAGTTTAAGAAAATACCTTTTATTATTATTTTTTTTTTCACATATTAATGCCTGTCTGTCAAAACTTTCCAATTTTTGAAGAAGCTTTTGTGGATCAAGTTATTAATCTTAATGTTTTAAATGGTCTTAATCCAGTTTCTAAGGATGTGCGGCTTTTCACTTTGCAGTTTGTAACTATGCCAAGGGTAGTTGGGTTGCAGACAGCAGGCGTCCTTTGTATCCTGGATTTGGATGTAAACAGTGGTTATCAGGAATGTGGGCATGTCAATTGATCCAACGTAAAGATTTTTCTTATGAGGGATATCGGTGGCAGCCAAAAGATTGTGAGATGCCAGAGTTTGAGCGATCTGCATTTTTGCGAAGGTTGGCCTCTATAATTGATTTCTGTTGTTAATGCTTCTTATTCTTCTGCTTCTGTTTGCTTTGTATCTTTCCTGGCCTCAATGGCATCATTAATATGTATTTCTGACTCACAAATCCTTCATAGGCAGCCATTTCTATTGAATTTCGATCATATGATGTTGTTGTTAGAAGAAAAATGAATGTTTTGATGGTTGGTTCTCTGAATATAGTTTGTGAATTTCAGGATGAGGAACAAAACAATTGCATTTGTAGGGGATTCTTTGGGCAGGCAGCAATTCCAATCTATGATGTGTATGGCCAGTGGTGGACAAGTGATCCGAGAAGTTGAAGATGTTGGAAGGGACTACGGTCTTGTCAAACTACATGGACATGCTCGTCCTGATGGCTGGGCTTATCGTTTCCTTGCTACCAATACCACCATTTTATATTACTGGTCATCAACACTTGCTGACTTGGTGCCACTTAACAGGTCAGACCCAAAGTCTGATGTTGCCATGCATTTGGACCGTCCACCAGCTTTCATGAGTAAATATCTCCATCAGTTTGATGTGTTAGTTCTCAATACAGGACATCACTGGAACAGAGGGAAACTGAGAGCTAACCGTTGGGTTGCCTATGTCAATGGAAAACCTAATGAAGATAAAAGACTTGCAAATCTGGGGAATGCCAAGAATTTTACTGTGTACAGTGTGGCTAGGTGGCTTGACTCTCAGCTCCCATCCCATCCCCGACTTAAAGCATTCTTTCGGACGATTTCTCCAAGACATTTCCGCAATGGGGACTGGAATACCGGTGGTAGCTGTGATAATACCACACCTTTAACCAGAGGAAACAAAGTTGAGCAAGATAGATCAAGTGATGAAATTGTTGAATCTGCTGTTAAGGGTACAAGAGTAAAGATTTTGGATATAACCGCTCTTTCGGAACTGAGAGATGAGGCTCACATATCTCGTTACAGTATCAAGGCAAACCAAGGCGTCAATGATTGCTTGCATTGGTGCCTACCAGGCGTTCCAGACACATGGAACGAACTTCTTGTTGCACAGGTATAGTTCCTGCATTATAGGTATTCACGAACGCGAACTCAATGATTCGTTAAGCTCAAAACGGACCTGTTTTTGATAATCAATAATCGTTTAACAACTCAGCTTTCTTATTGTCTGTAGAATAGGCTGAGAACATTGTTCTAATTCATTTCATATATAGTTTACAATTGGGGTCGATAAAACTTTGAGGCTGCCAGGGTAGGAGCGCTCCAAATGTTTCAGCTCTACCTGCATACACTCAAATTCTAGGAGTCTTTTGGGTTAGTGTATGTAAAAATATAGTTTGTAGTTTCTTTTACTTGATGAAAGAAATCATAGTTCTTCCAAGTTTTTGCTTACAAGAGTTGTTTTGATCATAAGGTCGTGGGTTTTCCATAATTTTTTAGGGAAAATATGCACAAAATTATGATGCAATTTATAGAATTTGGTTCAAAACTTTCTTAAATGTGTACTAGTAAATTTGAAAAGAATATTGCTGGAATCATCCCAACATGAAGGTTTACTTGGTGGTTAAGGAGATTTGTTCCCTTATTTGAGTTTATCGATTCAAACTTTGCGGTCATTTACCACATTAATATCGTGACTTTCCTGATTCTTTGGGTTTATAGGGTATTTAGTAGATCCCGAAGATTAGTTAAGATGTGTGCAAACTGGTCTGGATATCCCGGTTATTAAAAAAAAAAAATTTGTCAACGCTCTCTTCACCATTGTAAAATTAGATGAGTGGGTCGACACTACTAGCATCTCTGAACTTGTTATATGTTGATTTATTCCTCCCGCTATAAATAGTAAGTCTCGTCATTTTGTCACCGGAAAAACAATTTTATTTCATGTTGTATTTTATTTTGGTTTTCATGCTTCACTTTAGATTGATCTTCAAATCTAGTTTTAGGAATAATTAATCTGTTATAGAAATATAAAAAACAACATGGCAAATTCCACGAAAAATAATTAGGCAACTATACAAAAAACTTGTTTAATTCAATTGGAGAGTCAATTCTAATTTAATTCTCTTTCTTTCATTTTCTCATTAGCTATGAGCAATTTCTTAGCAAGCAAGATTCAGATTCTTGAATACAAATAACACATAATTTATTAAATAATTATTTATTAATATCAATGATAAGTGAGTGATTTATTCAATTTATGACCATATATAATATATTACATAGGTTTGTTATTTTTTATTTTTATAAGATTAATCATATTTGATGTAGAACAATTAAACGATTTCTTAAAAAAAATACTATAATAATCTTTAAAAAGTCTAAAGCCCATTAATTTAAATATCACTTTTTGGATAAACCTAAAAATAAATTTATGATTTCGCCCTTCATTACATTTAACCACTTAAAAGTATAGCATCATCCACGCATCAAATATATTTAAGAACATCAAGAATCTGAGGAGGCTATGTATTATATTGATTATGTAGAAGGGAAATGATTTTTAGTCCCCGTCTTCTACTTAAAGTGAGGATATCAGTTTAATAAAAAAATTATCTTTATTCCTACACACTTTTAATTTAAAGCTTTACATTTGCAATTATTGAAAAATTAAATGAAACCTAGGTAAAAAAGAATTGATAATTTTATAAATAAATTGAAGCTTGTGGTAATTTTCAGAATGACATAATATTTCTTCTTTACAATATGAATTAATTTTCAGGTTTCATTTCTTTGTAGACCTAAAGTAAGCACAACTACCATTTAATCTTCTTTTGGAGAGTTCTTTATTAGTTTTTTTTTTTTTTTTTTTTTTATAAGTTTTATAATTGGAAAAACTATTTCAAATTACATTATTTAAATGAAAAATTGATCATGTAATCAATAAATGAGTAGAAGTTGAACCAAACAATGAGTGAGCTGTTAGTTTTTGGAGTGTTTTAGGGCTGACAACTTTATATACACATAAGATATTAAAAGATTTCAGATATTTATAAATTATTCTTAAAAAATTTTAATATGTATAAAAAGGTACCAGTGTTAATATTTTTTCTAAAAACTATTATACCCCTATCTAAGATAGAAGTTGGGGCAAACATGAAAAAATATGGGATCTAGGAATCACTTTCCTATATATTTAAAAATATTATACCATGCGAGTTTTGTTTCATTTGTGTTTACAAATTATTATTATTTTTTATAATAGAAGTGAAAATTTGTCAACCCTTTGAAATATTTTGGCCTTAACTTACTTGATTGTAAATTTAGTTTAATTCGAACAATAGAAGGTACTGAAGATATATTTCAAAGGGCTGACAATTTTATTATAATTAGAGGCAATAAGTTTGGAGCTTTGTATGCGGAGAATTAAGAGAAAATTAAAAAAATTATCTTTGATATGTGATATTTTTCAAAGTTAATTCTCTGGTTTTCAATGACGTCAATTGTAGACAGCATGTGCTTTTGACTTTGCTTCTAGCAAGAGATGGGTAATATTTTGTTTGTCAACGTCAGAACAGTTGAGGAAATAAAAATATCAACTTTAAAGAATTTTATTATTGAAGGATGAACAAATTACAAGATGCTAAGAGGAAATAAAAATAGAGTACGAAATCATAAAAACAATAGTCAAACACAATCTTATTAACTCGGTTTTCAATTTGTGCACGAATGATGTAATCTTATATCATCAAAAAATTATCAACCATATCTATATTATCCTAAACTTTCATGCAATTTTCACATATCTTCTTTCATTATAAGTAAAGATACAAATCTTAGGCCCTTTTACTTGGAAAATTGTCAACCCGGTCTCTTCCTAAATCATTTTGACTTTCATGATATATTAATTAATTTCCTAGCAATTCTCATACTCTTCTTTACCTATATATTTAGCTGAGTAGAGCTTTATTTTTCTACTAAGAAATACCAAAAAAAACTGAAGCTCTCGTTCTTTGCATGTTAAATTATACATAAAATTTGCTCATTTCTTTTAGTTTATTCGATTAAGATTCAACAGTTCACTGTTATCAATTGATCTCACTTTTGATTCTATTTTGGTATGAAAAATATATTATGAGGGCAATATTAGAAAGTAATTTTCAAGACGGTTTATAAGATTCTAAAATATACATAAAAAATTATTAGGTAATCTTATTGGTTCGAAGAAACGACATAAAGAAAAAACGAAAATAAAGAAAATGTATTCCACCTTATGCTTAGCTGTTGCAAACTTTACCAAAATAACAATGAGGGCATTAAATGAAGCTAAGATAAAAGATGAACATATGTATGTCACAGTTTGAAGGAGAAGGCAAGAGAAGCAGAGCAACACTACCAGAGTATGCCTGAGAAGAGAATTGTAGAAATATTTTCTGTATTAAAAATGTAGCCTGTACAATTGGGCAATTTATACAATATTTGTGAATGTAAATTAGGAATAAGTATCCCTGTAAATCATTCAATCAATCACAACAATTAGGATGATTGATTGAAACTTAATTACACAAAATTTCATTGGTCTTAGTAGGCTGAGATCAAGGGAAATCTACAGCATTCCATTTTATATTTCGTCAATTTATAAATTCTTCTTGAAATTTTCAACATGTATAAAAACGTACCAATGTTACCCCTATCTAAGATAGAAGATGGGGCCAAACATAAAAAAATATGGGATCTAGGAATCGCTTTCCTATATATTTAAAAAAAATTATACCGTTTCATTTTTGTTTACAAATTATTATTATTTTTTATAATAGTAGTGAAAATTCGTCAACCCTTTGAAATATTTTGGCCTTAACTTACTTGATTGTAAATTTAGTTTAATTCAAACAATAGAAGGTACTGAAGATATATTTCAAAGGGTTGACAATTTTATTGTAATTAGAGGCAATAAGTTTGGTGCTTTGTATGCGGAAAATTAAGAGAAAAAAAAAAAAAAAATTGTCATTGATATGTGATATTTTTCAAAGCTAATTCTCTGGTTTTCAATGAAGTCAATCGTAGAAAGCATGTGCTTTTGACTTTGCACTTCTAATATATGTAAGGAGCCTCCAAACGTTGGTAATGTATTCTGAATCCTTGTACGACTTTCTTATACAGATTTTGTTTACACTGTTTCATTTAAACGTTATAATCTTTGCCCGGATTTTGGGTCGTTAATGTGATGATTAGATTCGTTTTGTTTTATATTTTGTCTTTTTCCGCTACGCGAATCTGTTTCACTCACTTACAGGAACCACACATTTGAGTACCATGCCTCTTAGTGAAACAAGAATAATCTGATTTTGATAAATAAAACCACCTTTAATCAATGCAAAAGTCAGTTTGAAATTCTAGGTCCGAGAGGCCTGCTTTAAACCATATAAGGATGTGGAGTTTGCACACGATATTTGTCCTATTGGTTATGGGAAACTTGAGGCAAAGGCATATAGATTTCCTCAGTTAAATCACCTTGTAAAAAATCATTATCAACCTCAAGATGGTATAAAGGCCAATCATGAATTGAGGCTATGGACAATATGGTTCACATTGTCACCATCTCACCATAGGGGAAAATGTTTCCTCATAATCATTGTGTGCTTGTTGTGTGTAACCCTTAGCCACTAATCGGGCTTTGTACTTTCTAAAGTACCATCAGGATTGAATTCAACTTGTACAACCCAACCCATTTACATCCAACTGGACTTTTTCTAGGAGGCAAAGTAACCAATGACCAAGTGTGATTGTCCTCTAAAGCCTTTATCTCCTTTGACAAAGCTCACACCCTTTTGGATCTTTAGAAGCTTGGTAAAAACGGTAGGTTCAATTAAGGAGGATATTTTGCTAAGCATGCTTTATACATAGGTGACATATGTGAATAGGTGACAAATCTGATATTAGGTATTGTACAACGAGTTGTGAGGTAGAGGAAATCGTGGACAATGAAAATTAGTAGTCCAGATAGGTGGTTTTGTAGGTCGGTTTGATTTTCTTAAGGGGACTGGATTAGATTGCACTAAGGGTTCAGGTTCATAGGATTAGACAGACTTAATGCTTTAGGTTCATCAAGGGGATGTGGTATAGATGTGAAGGATTGAGATCATTACTGATTCTGCATTGAAATGCATATAAAAAGAATTTCTCTAAAGATGAATCTAAAGGAAAAATGGAAAACTGAGATTGGCCATTTGAAAGGAAATATATGCTCATAAAAGATGACATCCCTAGTGACCTGCACAGTACGAATTTGTAGATTTAAAGCAAGTATCCTTTCTTATCTAAAGAATAACCTACAAAAAAACAAGGAGCAGGCTAGGAGAAAATTTATTTTGGTGTAAGAATAGTGAATAAGCTAGACAACCAAAACCTCTCAAATGCATAGTAGAAGAGGGTTACCAAAAGCTTTTCAAATGGAGAGAAAGACCCTTTAACACAGGAGTTGATATTATGTTTATTATATAAATTGTAGTATGAACACTGTATCCCCAAAGAAATTTGGTAGATGAGATTGAAATTTT